GGGGATAGTATTCCGCATCCCCTACTACATCATAGTCTTCACAAAGGCAACACAATACATTACATCATTAAATGTACTCATATACTACATACGTGGACGAATTCTCGCAAAAGTAATTCATGTGGCTTTCAAAATCAATCCGCCTAATCGAGAGAAAAAATAATATTCATCACAGTATTTTTCATCTGATTGCTTAAAGCAGCATCAATCACGTCTAATAAGTGTTACCAAGAGTTCCGGATACAGCAAACGATTGCCCAATAATTTGTAGTTTTTAAATTATATGGGCTCGCGCCACTCTCTCCGGAACTTCAGTGTATCACTCCGCCTTCACGAGTTTCCCCGCTTGGCCACTCTGCTGCGCTCCGATCAGTATACTCAACGTAATTACTTGTCACAAAATTACACAGTTATTTATGGAAATAAACATTTCAAAATTTAGTATTATGATTGTAAGGCACGTTTCTAGCTAAGGAATTAGTTATTTTTTGAAAATATGGTTTAGTTTTTAGTTAAAAAATAATTGATTTATAGCTCAATAATTTATTTATACATCAAAATTTTGCCTCGTAATGAACAATTTACACAATACATTAGCTAGAGGACTACCATACCTTTAATTTGACATAAAAATTATATCTTTACAACAATCGGAAGAGACGTAATACCGTCACCAAGTTAACATTAGTCTTATGGGACTAAGATTCAAGATGGCTACCACTGATGAAGACTCTTAACTAATATGGGAAATTATGATGTACATTTATTCAGTGAGGGTGGGTAATTATCAAGGATAGAACTGATAATGGTATGGATAATAAACATTGACAATTACGTCATTAGCTTTACTAGCGTGTTTACTTTTTAGCGAATTTCCCATATAGGGAATAAGCTATTACCGTAGTACTCATGGTAAGACCTGGACGCGGGACCGATTTTTTTTTTCGTTTTGAGGTCCCTAGAGGCCAAAAACACCATCCGTTCAAATTCATATATATATATATATATATTTATATATATATATTTATTTATATATATATATATTTATATATATATATTTATTTATATATATATATATTTATATATATATATATGTGTGTCCGTCAGCACGATAACTCGAGCAAAAATGATCCGATTTTGATGAAATTTGGTACAAACGTGTAAACGTACGTTTATTCGAACGAGTTCGCGATCCAGCATGATCGGACCATGGGAACGGGGGTTTACGGGGGATTTTATGGGGTAAAAATAGGTTTTTCCCATTTTTGACCCAAAAAACATCAAATTTAGCAATTTCTTTCCAAACCATTTTGTAGAGCTTAAAAAAACAAATAATTTAGTATATTGAAGCATTATTATGCGCCTAATGGTTACGGAGAAAATTCAAAAAATTGTAAATTTAAAATTCCCATGTTATTCTTATGGAGAATAAGTAAACTGTTGTAGTTTGCTTGTTTGTGAACATATTTTGATCAAATTTGGAAAATGTTTTTATTTCTTACTAACTATTCACTAGGGATGGTCAAGTCTCGAAATTTCGGGAAATTTTCGGGAAATTTTCAATCTCGTTACACGAGACGAGATTACTTTTTGGCCGAGATTTTTATCAAGACGAGAAAAAAAAAAAAAAAAAAAATTAAAAACGCCTGCAGAAAGTCAATGCAATACCCGCAATACAGGAGCGTGTTGTAGTTGCGTTTCCTTTTCGAAGGCGTTCTTATTTAATTAATTCTTTTAATGTAAATATTACTTTAATTCTTTTAATGTAAATATTACTTTCATTATTTTAATAATATTACTTACACACATTTGAGAAGTTTTGTTAAGTGTAAGCAGTGTGAGGAATGATTTATTTTATTTTAGGATAAGTTGAAATCTATCCTAACTGATATCACCATGTTTCCTAATCGTAGGCATTTTTAATAAGTTAGGCGTGATTAATAAAAAAATGTTATGCTGATGTTATTTAATAAAAGATTGTAAATATTCTTGCCTATTATCATTATTTTAGTATTCAAACAGTCATCTAACAATGTTACAAAAACAGGTAAAAATTTCGAACGTGCATTTCCCGTTGTGTATGAGAAGAGAAATCTCGTCTCGATCTCGTCTCGAAATTTTATGAGAAATAAAAAATCTCGTCTCGTCTCGTCTCGAACTAAAAATCCAATCTCGTCCATCCCTACTATTCACATTTGACAAAAAACAGTTTTACCCTCCCTGATGCAGCAAACCTAAGTACTTGTTAAACTAATTCTATTTAAATCAAGAATAAATGTTATATTTTTAAGTAGACATTTCAGTGTAAATCCAATCAGTCAAATGGAAATTCGCTTAGTCTGCAGGTTTGCTGCGGCGGGGGTATTATATTCCTGCTACATGTGATCAAATGAATGTTATTTGAACCAAACAGCTGTTTTAAAACAAACTGTTATTGTTTTTACTTTTCTTTGTTTACGCTTATTTATTTAGCAATTAATGCAGTGAAATTTATATAAAGGATAGGTGTGACAATTAGTTTTGATGTTAGGACACCAAAATAAAATTATGTTTACTGTGAATTTTATTGGATAGTATCGTTTTATTTTAGGTCGTTTCTATTCAGACCTACTGGAAATTGTGTACAGTAGTTGTGTTGTGGGGATAATAATTATGGAAGAGGCAGGTATGCTATGGAAGGTGGTGTCGTTGACTAGGTCTACACAACACTATACACTTCTCAATTGACTATTACTCTCTCTACTGTAGGCTACTTATAATCAGTGTGCGTCTGTGCGAATCGTCTGCCAATCTCACTTCAACGCTTTTCACATCGTAAAAATTGCAGAATTGCTGTTTTATTGTAAAATTATCGGATTTGAAATGCATACCTATCGTATAGGCCTATGATGGAATAACACATATTTTGCCACACAACGTATGTTTACAAGATGATTTTTCACATTAAAACTGCAAGAAACTTTGTCTTTATATGTGTAAACTAGCTGATCTGAATTGTACACGGTTTTAACTGACTACTAAATTCCCGTACTTAGGACGGGCTAACACCTCGTAAGTATTATTAGGTTTTTTTCATGTTCACATCCCAGTACTCTAGACTGAGTCCGGGAATGTTTTCCACATAATGTCAGGCTAGGCCTAGTGAGTTGTGGGAGTGGGGATATCAAACTGCTAATTTCAATTTTTATTTTTATGGTATAACCACTGATTTGTACAACAAAAGGTTTAAATTACATATATTCGTAAAGTGATCTTAGGTTGTAGTTAGTTGACTACACCAGTTTTGTGTTGAAATTAACACATCTTCAGGTTGAGATCATACGTTAAGTGGATTTATTCCATGGAATGGTAGTCATAAGATTAAGAGTTCACAAATAAAACGTATACATACATGACTGTGTTGTGCCGGAAGTAAACCCCCCACCCACTATCTGCTGTAGTCTAAGTTGTGTATGGCGGCATTGTAAATATTCGATTAAAAAATGGATGTTCTTAATTTAAAGTTTTTGGGCTGTTTTTTGGAAGCACAATATATTTCCAATTCCTCTAACGTGTCCATGTATTTTCCTTTGTAGCATAAATGGAGGACATTGAGATTTTTAGCGAATTTCCCTTAGGGAATAAGCTATTACTGTAGGTCTCATGGTAAGACCTGGACCTGGGACTGATTTAATTTTATGTTTTGAGGTTCCCACGGGCCAAAAACAGCGTCCGTTCAAATTCATGTGTCCGTTAGCACGATAACTCGATCAAAAATGAACCGATTTTGATGAAATTTGGTATAAACGTGATAACTATATCAATTTGAAATATATATCGAATTTGAAATTAATTGGAACGAGTTCGCGAACCAGCATGATCGGACCATGGGAACGGGGGTTTATAAAAAAAATATAACATTTTAAAATTTCTTTCTAAGTTATTTTGTAGAGCTTAAAAATAAATAATTTAGCATATTGACGCGCTGTTGCATGTCTAACGGTTACAATGAAAATAAGAAAGGTGTAAATTTAAAATTCCTATGTTATTCTTATGAAGAAAATGAAAACTATTGTTATTTACTTTTTTAAGGTAGATATCATTTGGCAAATTTATTTATTTCATCCTATGCTATTAACCTTTGGTCAAAAAATACTTTTTACCTTCCCTGTAGCAACAAACCTAAGCACTTGTCAAATCTAATGTTATTTGAATTCGGAATAAAAATGTCTTTTTTATGGAAATATTTTTGTAAAACTGTAATCAGACAAGTTGAAATTTGCTTAGTCTGCAGGTTTGCTGCAGCGGGGGTATTATTTATATTTGTATAGTTGTGGTTGGAATTAATTAAATGGCTGGAGAATGCTGAATTGGAGGATTTTTAGGCAGGTGTTCTTTAAATCGGGTAGCAAATGATGAAGTACTCTTACTGTAGTATACTCTACTTAATCCTACCCGATTCAAAGAACACTAAAGGAAAATACATGGACACGTTAGAGGAATTTTAAATACATCGTACTTCCAAAATAACCCTGAAAACATCTTAAATGAAAAACATTTATTCAAATAAAATATTATTAACAATGCCGCCATACACATCTTAGACCACAGCAGATAACAGCTGATAAGTCGGTGGGGGGTTATCACTTTCGGCAGCATGGCAGTTTTGACCTACCTTCTTCTGGCGCCGCATGTGTCCGATGTATTTTTTAATTTTGCGTTTTTGTATTTGTGTTTCGGCTAGTGTATAATGTTTTGTGTATGTGTACGTGTTTTTTTGTGAACTCTTAACCTTATGATGACCATTCCTTGGAATAAATCAATGGAACGTTTGATTTCAACTTGAAGATGTGTTTATTTCAATTTAAAACACCTGTAGTCAACCAACTAAAATCTAGGGTCACTTGACGGATACAGGTAATTTAACCCTTTTGTTGTAAATTTCCTTTGGTGATTGGTGGGATTTGAACCCGGATACTTTGGATCGAAGATGTCATATTTAAACAACTCTTAATGCTCACCTTAATCAGATTCATTATTGGGATAACTCTCCCAATAATAGATCTGCATATTGGGCAGGTAATGGGCAGTCGAATTTTCTTCAATCGTCCATAACTAATAACTGTGCCATATAAGACCTGGTGAACAAACTGTGGCAGACATTCCTTGCAGAGGATGACGTGGCCACAGGGAACCGCCACTCTGTTTCGTTTGTTTACCAGGCATATGACACAAGTTGGGTCTCGTTCTTCTGCCTCCTCTATGATCTCATCTACTGGCCCGTTAGTCAAGGAATATAACAGTTCATCCTGTTGTTGTTCCACAACCTTTTTGGGGAGGTTCTCACCATCCCTGACTGATGTGGGGATCTCCCTGTACTCTTCATAGTACGGACGCTCTGTAAACAATCAATCACAAACTTAATAATTATAAAAAAGTATTCATGTACTTAAACTTACAATAGAACCTCGCTAATTTGAATTTCAGAGGAAAGACAATATATTTCTAACCATGGGAAGATTGTAATATGGAGAGTTTGATTTGTAGAGGTTATAGTAAATACAATTATGGAGGTCCCAGTTTTAAGTGTAGGGAGTTTGAGAGAACGGAGACTAATGAACAAATCGTGTGAACATCAATAAGAGCGTCAGTTCATGTTTCAACAGGTGTATTTGTTGTCCTGAATTCAAATTACAGAGGCTTACGGTAACACAGTTTGAATTGTAGAGGTTGACTTCTAATTTTCGAGGTAACAGTTTGAATTAGGCTTTCTACTGATACAAAGGCAAACTGCCAAATGCAGGGTGTCTACTACATTCTGGATAAAATATTCATGGACAATTCCCGTACATTTAAGGACCTTTGTCGGTGTGATTACAGAATAATATTCCTGATTTGTCAAACTGTATTCAGGCCCGTTTTTGACAATGTCAGCGCCCTAGGCACAACTAATAGTAGCGCCCCTTAGAAATATACAGGGTGTCCCGTAAGTAAACAGCCAAACTCCACGAAATGGTTCTATGGGTAAAAAAAAACAAAAAATCAAGAATAACATTTTTTCCAAAATGGCTTCGTGAACCAGATATTCGCCATTTGGGTTTTTTCACATAAAATTTTTATCTTTAAAGTTTTTCAAGCGATCATTATGGAAACTTGGTATGTATGTTAAGGTAACAGACACCCATGTAAGAAAAAAATAATTTTGATTCATCATAAAACTTCAAAATGGAGGCCATTTTAATTTTTTAAGCTTAAATTACAAAAAAAATGGCAGATTTTATGAGAAAACGACAAGAACATTTTTATTTGGAATTTTAAATTCCCTATCAAACGATACCAAGCTCAACAAGATTGAATACGAGATAGCTGAAGTATCACGATTTTTAGTTGCAAAATGGGACAAACCTGACTAGCTTAGCCTTTTTATACATTTTACAGCTAAAAATCGTAATATTTCAGCTATTTCTTATTCGATCTTTTTGAACTTGGTATCGTTTGATAGGGAATTGAAAATTCTAAATAAAAGTGTTTTAGTCATTTTTTTCATAAAATCTGCAATTTTTTAGGAATTTGAGTTTAAAAAATTAAAATAAATGGCCACCATTTTGAAATTGTATGATAAGTCAAGGTTATTTTTTTCTAACATGGGTCTCTCTCTATATCATCTATACCAAGTTTCATAAAGAGCGGTTGAAAAACTTTAAAGATAAAAATGTTAATGTGAAAAAAATGAAATGGCGAATATCTGGTTAATGAAGCGATTTTAGAAAAAGAAAATGCTATTCTTGAATTTATTTTTATATTGACCCATAGAACCATTTTGGAAGACCCATAGAGTTTGGCTGTTTACTTACGGGACACCCATATTAAAGGGTGACCACCGTCGGGTAATCCGGGAATTATGCATGAATGTTGTATTTCTACCTGGAATTGTCAATTTACCACGATCGCGCATGACAACAGTGACCTTTACATGACCGCGGGAGACGATAATATGTCTACACACGGCCGAGAGGGATGAGCAGAATATTACCGCGATCGCAGAAGACGATGATGATCTTCACATGACTGCGGGATATGATCAACATTTTGCCGCAATCGCGGGAGGCAATTACAACGTCTTCACGGCCGCAAGAGACGATTACGATCTCTACATTACCGAAGGAGATACAATCGGCCGCGAGGGATTATCAGAATTTTACCGCGATCGCGCAAGACAATAATAATGTCCACACGACCGAGGGAAAAGATCAGAATTTTGCCTCATTAGCGGTAGACGACGATAATCTCTTCACGACCGCGTTATATGTTCATATATTGCCGTGATCATGGAAGACAATAATTATGTCTACACGACCGTGGGAAATATTTAGAATTTGCCGCGATCGCGGAAGACGATAATGATGTCTATACAGCCACGGGAGACGATAATGATATCAACACGGCCATGAGGGATTATCAGAGGTTTACCGCGATCGCATGTAAATACAATTACAACATATTTTTTTATTTTCCAATTTTTGACGCCCCTCAAAAAAACCAATTGCCTAGCGCCCTAGGCACGTGCCTACCGTGCCTATTCGGTAAATCGGCCCTGACTGTATTAATCTTGTTCTTCATTGTAGTTGTTCCAGAGAGAAAAGTAAATAATAATAGAAAAGAATTAAATTTCAAAACAGAAACTTATTGAAAGTAAACTAACATATACTTTAGGTACAGCTTTTATAGTGTAACAGAAAAACGCAATTGTCTCCTGCAATAGCGACAAAATCCTAAATATCTCCATCAGTCACGGAAACATCATAACATAGCTTATCCGACCCAGGCAGATTAATTTGGCATTATTCGCCCTGGCACAACGTTAGGTTCTTGACTACTTTAAAAAAAAAAAATCTGTAATCCATAATGAATATATTGTAACTCGGCTCTAGGTACAAAATCGGTATGGTAAGCGGCTACCAGTAAGCACAGAGTAAGATTAAATTGTCTTTTCATTTGCAAAGTTAACATCAACATAGGCCTACAGCAATCATTAGTTTATCTTAGGCTCAATTACATTTTCTTACTATATTTTACAGCTCTTTCAAAGAATCAAAATACCCAGGCCTAGGCCTAATTATTTAGGAGGGCCTATATAAACTGAGTAACAAACAATGAGGTTATAATATCAGCAAAGTCACTACAATATCATCATTCTAGTTCATATGATTTAGATTGCTTAAAGCATACAACGCAATAAATAAATATGGGAAATAAAAAAAATGAAACCTGAACGCCAACAATGTACAAAGATACAGAAAATGCAATGACATAATATGAAACCAAGTAGGCCTACGTAGAGATAAAAAATTAATGCAAACAACAATGCTTGTGGTTTTGTCAATTGAAAGATAAAATATCCATAAAAAAGGGTTTAACTTACAAAATAAGACTGTAGATTAGTTACATGTTTTATATGAAACCATAAACAGTTTTATGGCACTAGGCAATGGCCAGCGGCAAATTGAATCTTCAAGACTAAAGTACAAGTAAGAAGTGAAGTTTAACAGCCATTATAAAACAATTATTTCCATGATAAAATATGTTTGGGATCTAATAATGATTACTCTAGTAATAAATAAAGAAGTTGTATGGGAATAAAAGTGATACAACTTTTATGAGCTAAGCTACTACTGAGTCAACAGTTCTTGGAAGTACTTGACTTGACACTTGATTGTCGTGATAAAATATTAATGGGTTTGAGACTGCTAACTTACATAATCACTCTAGTAATAAATTATGAAAATGTAAACAAACATCTGATAAACATTTTATGTGCTCCTAACCAACTAGCGATCGATAAAATTATGGCCCATTAAAAATTTAAGGACATTGTCTGGCATTTAAGGACAATTCCCGTACATTTCATGGCCAGTAAAAAATTAAGTACAATTCCCGGTTTTCCCGGATTTCCCGGTTGGTAGACACCCTGCAAATGTCAGTAGAGGCTCAATTTCATCATCATGGATCTTCTTTAGGACAAATACAAACCGTAACTACAAAAACAAACCACCTCCTTCATAATCTTCCATCAAGATGTTCAAGGATAAACAAAAAAGGTAGAAAGAATAAACCATTTTATGAATAGCTATTAGCCTAAAGTACTAGTACTTACGAAGCACAGGCTTAGCTCAGATGAATTATCACTTACTTAGATCAGTGGCTATAACCTAGTAACACATTTATGCAGGAAAGACCACGGTAGTGTAGCAATCCATGTTATTTTTCTTACCATTTCTATTTGTGTTTTCTGAATCTCCACCTGCCCACACATTTGTCTCGTCATCAGTATCCTCATAGTCATCTTCTGAAACTGAATAAATAACTCTTAAAACCATTAACAATTAATATTCTTACAAATTCATCCATTTCTGCAGTTTGTCCACACATTCTAAATACTAAGAGGTTTAAAACTGATTTTAAAATAGTTAAAGTAAAATTAAATAAAAACACTAGATCATATATACAACTGGCCAAATACCAACTTGTTTTCTTCAAAGAAATTATGAGATTCGATAACTTTTATTGTTCTAAGTGCTTTTCTTCATTTGTAAACATTTTGATATCAATCAGAATCAGATAAGCATGTTTAAATCAGTTCACATGAGGTAACTTTATCAGGGGTGTTTTAGAAATATGAAGTATATAAGAATAGCTAGCCTATTTATTGAAAGACTGACTTGAACAACTTTACAAAACTTTACTTATGGTTTTGAAAATAAGTAAAATACAAGAATGCAGCGAACCACCAAGATTTCAAAGACCTGTTAAGAACATGAAAGTTAAATTTTCAATACATAAATGTAGTGTAGGCTACATAAAATATTAAGTTCATGTAAAAAAAACTAACAAAATATTTGTAAAGAGGAAATCCTACACACATGGTCTATGTGTGAAGTATAAATCTCAAAATGAGTTCTCAACCTCTGCTAAATGTTTTACTTATCTCTTGTGAAATAAATCTCTTTATTGTTATCTACTCCCTGGCCTCTTGTCCTTGTGTAAGTATTATCTTTGGAACCGGCATTAAAACCGATTGAGCTATCTCTTATTGACATTCCGAAATAACTTACATTCTGAGAATGAGTCAATAGGGTCCGGATGAAGTGATTGGCAGAAAGTCATTGCTCTGTTCATGGCATCCAATTGGTCTTTGTCTTCCGGAGCAAACCTCAACACTGTCTCCACGTCTTCATCATTATCTTCTTCTCGGTTCCCATCAGCATCTGTGTTCATAACAAATTAGCTAATAGAGCATTGACAAAACTTAATATATAATCAACCAATATAATTCGCATACAAATTAAAAGGGTTTGTTCCTCAGAAAAGTCAATAGCTTTTTAATAGTTCAATACTGTATCCGGTTACCCTGATCATTTTTAGGCTTTTAATAAATGGTTGTGGCTAAGAAACACAGTGTAATTACGTTTTGCGCGTAATTACGCTTTTTGCGTGGATTTTTGTGCGGATTAGGCTTGTGAGCGGATTTCACCCAATTGTCAAGTATTTGAAAATATATGGGAATTTCAACGGCAAATCGGGACACTTTGTACTTTGTGACTCAAGAGGAGCACTTTATGAGTATATGAACTAAGGATTATATTATAGTGTATTCAAGAATGATCGATGATTTTTCTTGAGTACATTTATTGTTATTGTTTGTTGTTTATTGTTGTTGTGTTATCTTCACTCCCTTTACTTCTACGTCTCTATGTTGTCACTTCTAGAGATTTAATCGTTTTCTAGGGATATTTTACTACCCGTTCAAGTAATTTTCCTCTAGACGTTGGTTTGTGGCAACACTGCTAACCTAACCAAACAGGCAAACAAAACAAAGTACCAACCAACAGAAACAAAACGAACTAGTCAACTTTATAATATTTGATACTAACAATTATTAATGTATTAGGTTAGTTTTGAAAAGAACAATTGACATACAATAATGCACTTTCATTTTCAAAGGTAACATCGTCCATCAGGCTAAGGCTAGTTTGAAAACAAAAAGTAATATTTTTTACTTTTGGTTTTGTGTACATTGTTTTCCAATTTTTTAGCGAATTTCCATGGTAAGACCTAGACCCGGGACCGATTTACTTTTTCGTTTTGAGGTCCCCAGAGGCCAAAAACACCATCCGTTCAAATTCATATATATATATATATATATATATATATTTATTTATATATGTGTCCGTTAGCGCGATAACTCGAGCAAAATTGATCCGATTTTGATTAAATTTGGTACAAACGTGTAAACCTACATTTATTCGAACGAGTTCGCGAACCAGCATAATCGGACCATGGGATCAGGGGTTTTATAGGGTAAAAATGGGTTTTTCTCATTTTTGACCCTAAAAACTTAAAATTTCTAAATTTCTCTCTAGACCATTTTGAAGAGCTTAAAAAAACAAATAATTTAGTATATTGAGGTGTTTTTGAATGTTCATTGACTACGGAGAAAATTAAAAAAATTGTAAATTTAAAATTCCCATGTTATTATTATGGAGAATAAATAAACTGTTCTAGTTTGCTTGTTTATGGATGCATTTTAATCAAATTTGGCAATTTGGTTTATCTATACTTATTTAATACGCAAGCATGTTTTTTGTGACAATTACTCCTCCGAAACTAATGAACCGATTTACATGTTTTTGGTGTCATTGGATAGAGCGTAACGTGAAGTTGTGCAGGAAACTTTCTTTTTAGGGAAATAATCAGGGAGTGAGGCCCTAGGACCCTTTAAAGTTTTGTATTTCTCTATAAGATTAACATGGGAAACAAAAATTATTATGCAACTCCAGCTGTTGTCAGAAATTAAAAGTAAGAAGAAGAACATATGTTAATTTTAAACAGTCAATAAGTTTGCTAATTTTACAGTTTGCTAGAAACATTTACTGACTTGGTTGAAATGAAATATTTACTATTTGAATTCGGGTTGGCGTAAATATTACAATGGAATAAAAAGCGAGAGAGCCTGAATAAATTTATATATTCTGTTATGTACATCTGGAATATTTCCATAATCTTTGGGTCGAATCTTTAAAAGTCATCAGAAATGATGAACGTTATTCCTTTTAAAATAACACATCTAATACTTAAAAATTGCTCGAATTCGAGCAACAGGGACACTAGTTTCATACTAAGCTATCAATATTTCAATTGAAAAAACACACCTCAACATCTTCCCCGTAGCAGCAAACCTAACTACTCACTAAAATTAATGTTATTTAAATAGGAAATAAATCTGAAAGTTTATAGGGAATATTTTAGTAGAAATCAAGCCGGGTAAATGGAAATTCGCTTAGTATGCAGGTTTACTGCGACGGGGGTATTGTTTGTTTGTATAGTTCACAAATAAGAGAAAACCAACAATACCTGACTTAATTTATTGATACCTCTAACCACATATTTAAGGAGTTATAATATTGCATTTGATTGATTTCTAAAACTTTTAACTGCTATATGTAAAGTTTGTTCAAACAATAAAATAGTTTAATAGATTATGTAATTTTTAAATTTTTGTATTAATGCAATAGCATTATATTTTATCACTGATTATTTTTTTGCTATGTTCAATTAGTATTGAATGCACACATACGGTAAGTGTAAACATCTTGTAACATATTTTGAGTGTTACATTTCGTTATAGATCAAAAAATGAATGGAAACTTGTTTTCTAGCACTACATTATTAGACTCAAAGGTTAATTTACAGAGTGCGCTGATTGTGCACGTATTTTTAACGAATTGTGCGCGGATTGGAGAGGAAAAAGCGGGATTTTTAAGCTTGTGAGGACGGATTTCTTTCGAAGCTGTGTGGCAACACTGAAGAGACAGCTGGTCTTTGTCAGTAGCAAAGCTACACAGATCATCTCACTCCGTTATACACTCACTCTTCTTTCATATTCAGCCTAAAATACTGACCAAAGTTTGCGAGGTAATATTGTAGCCTAATTTGTTCAATAACATTTCACTCAGTAAAAATTATGTAACATTTGAACCTTGACAAACAAAGTAATGGCACAAAGAGACACTCACTTAATTAATGGTGAATTTCAACAGAAAGATCAATTTGACACAAAAAACACTTAGCTAAAACCAAATTGGTTATTAACATTTGATTTCAGATCAAAAAAGTGCAACTTAAGTTATGGCCTTAGCCATATTATAACGTCATTCAAGCTTAAGCCCCGCTAAACTTAAAGTGTAAGCATTTATCGTCAACAGATTTTATAACCTTATGACATCAACAAAATCCAGCACTCTACACCTTGTAAAAATGGCTAGAATGTGCGATGTTCACAATTTAGTGCAGCGCAGACGTATTTATAAGTCACGCACGAGTCTAATTTTAGAGACAGCCTTTGGCAGTCCTTTGTGCTACCCTCCCTGCATCTATCCTCTCCCTCCTGGTGTTGTCCTGTCGCATTAACCCTCCCATCCCCGACACAAAACTTAAGTTAATAGTTCCGCAATCATGGCAAGTGTCAAACTAAAGGTTCTGCCGATAGTAGAAAAGCGTGTGTTATCCCCATTACCTACTGTATTTCTTTACTGTAGGCTATTTTTTTTTTTTTTTGCATTTTTACTGTATTTTTTTTTTGTAATTGTTAAATTGTCATGTGTGTAAAGAAGGAAAAAAAGATAGAAGACGTGTGTTAGGAGTTTGAGTTGCTTTATTCCACTTTTGGATCATTTTTGAAGAACAAGGACAACATTTTGAAGGTATTTAAAAAGATAGGGAAAATGTGAAAAGAATCAGAGGATATAATAGCAGTGATATTGATGAAGCTGTTCTGAATTGGTTGAGCTCTTCAAACAAAGAATGACTGATTTTATTTGTGCAAATATTACAGGGTAAGAAAAAGGAAGCTTCTAGTTATTGGCAAAAGTTCACGACCTTGATGTTTTACAAATGTAAAAAATCTGCCTGTAACTTAGACAGCCAACAAGAAAGGATGAATGATTTCTGCCATATTCGAAGAAGAATCGATGAAGTGGGACAGAGAAGTGTCATAAAAATAGGAAAATACTTCTCTTTAATTGACAATTGTGCAGCTCACCCAAAATTGAAGCTGGCCAACACTGAGCTTATGTTTTTACCGCCCAACTGCACAGGCATCACCAGCTATAGTCCGTTTGTTTGGCTATGATATCCAGTGGATTAGGAACCTTCTCGGAACTCGACTCACCCTTCAGACTTGCTTGCCAAGCTTTTACCTACCTACTGTCACAGTCCCACAGATATGTAACTTTTTTATTTTATGTTAAAATAAATTGTTATTTGTAAGCCTATTTGATTTCTACATAAATTTTTTTTAGTGAGTCCAAACACGATTTAGATACTTAATATCTACAATCTGTATCCACATCGTGTATGGGCTCATTATTTTTGGAATTCCATGTAGAACTCAAATTTATAAAGAACAATTTATTTGAACTTAAAACAAAAAAAGTTAGGCCTACAGATCTGTGGTAGTGTGACAGTAGGCGAGTCATTGTTTCTCTCCGGCCAGCCAGACCAAACAGGTCAAGAGGGTGAGTTGAGTTCCGAGAAGGTTCCTAATCCGCTCGGTATCATCATAGCCAAACGGACGGACTATAATAGACTAAGGTTATCAGAGGCTTTAGGTGTCACTACTGTACCCCAAGCAGCTTAAAAAAAATAATCTGCTTTGGCACTGCACAAGTTATAATATTGTGTTGGATGCCATCCAGTTCGTTGACAATGCTTAAAAGTAAGTGACACCAAGAACAATCTCCAAATGATTCAGGAAATCAGGACTTTCACCTGATGACAAAGATGAAGATGATTTACCTCTCTCAGAATGGGCCAAGCGATAATAGGCAGGATCTTGCTGGTTACACATTCCAGTCGACATCCTCGTTGAAATTTTCTAAATTCTTAGTAAAGCAGATATTATTAATGAGGTACAAAATTTAGCCTCATACAGTACTACAATGGGACGTAACACTGTATGATGTTAATTTGTAAACACATATGTAATTAATACCTATGTATATCAGGCAATTGTTAAAACTGTTACCTACGACCGTTTTTTAAAGTAGCCGTTTCAGTACAGTTCTTAGAATTGAAAAGTATCTCATAACAGCATTGTTTACTTTCATAACAGCATAGTTTTACTCATAACAACACGGGTAACGGACCAATGAGGTTCAAGGATTGGGAGAGGAGAAGCAAACTTGTAATAATTCGAAATTCAACTAATCAGCTGTTCACGCAAATTTAATTGTTGATTGGTGCAATAGTGAATTAGCGTTTGATTCCTTGCTTCTCTGTCAGTGGCAATGAGATGTTATAAACAAAAACATAACCTCTCTTTCAAGTTATGAGTAGTGATTTTTAGTAATTAAAACACCGTTGTAGGTAAAGTAGTGTACGCAACTCGTGTAAATAGTGTTATCGACACCCGTAGAAGTTTTTAAGGCACTCGCCAAGGCTCGTATCTTAAATTTTCTACTAGTGTCGTTAACATTATCTTTACGCAATCGTTGCGTAAACTACTATAACAAAACATGAATTAGTTAGACTATGATAAAGTTTCTTACCGTCCAACCATACTGAGTTTATCCACAGGATCAAACATTCAGCCCCATAATGTTGAATGTCCTTACATACAGCATAAAAACCAATGTTTGTATATAGGAACGAAATGCCTTCTCCGTTGTCGTTTATCCACGTTACCTTGCTGAAAATATATTTACATCTTGTTAACTAAATAGGTACTAAAGGTGAATTGCCAACTGGGCAATTATTTGGTACGTCTACAACGCGATATTATGTACTTTTTTTATGTCTACTTACAGTATTTTTCACGCTGAATCCAAAAATGCAATCAGTTTTTGTCGGAGAGATTCCTAAATGATCGTAAAACGAGGGTCAACATTACGAATCTAAGGTTCATTGAGCTATACTGATGGCAATATGGCGTGGTCTGGACGGGTCTGTATGTGGACTGAGGACTGAGTGAGGAGGAGAGCAAACAGCTGTTTGTACTCGATACTTAATGCGGAATGAAATCAATTCGTTTTGAAACCAGAGATAATCAGAATCAGTTCTTATTTAGGCATGTGAGGAAGGTAGGTCGGGTTTTATGCGGATTCGTGACTGTATTAAGTGTTTTGAAGTGAGGTTAGATTAGGAAGGTAAAGGTTAGGTTATTATGAACCGACTCATTAATTTATGCTACTTCCAGACTGTTTTTGCACAATTTAATAGTGGGTGAAACACAATGAAATAACGATATCAAAAATGCTTACGCTATTAAAGTATTGTAAAATGCTTACGCATTTTTGATATCGTTATTTCATTGTGTTTCACCCACTATTAAATTGTGCAAAAACAGTCTGGAAGTAGCATAAATTAATGAGTCGGTTCATAATAACCTAACCTTTAACTTACCTAATCTAACCTCACTTCAAAACACTTAATACAGTCACGAATCCGCATAAAACCCGACCTATCTTCCTCACATGCCTTTTCTGACATGAAATACGATTTAAAAATTAATATTAAAGTTGGGTTGGGTTAGGTTAGGTTAGATTAGATTAGATTAGGTTAGCAAAATTAATATTAAAGTTGGGTTGGGTTAGGTTAGGTTAGATTAGATTAGGTTAGCTTAGGTTACCTTAGTTTAAAATATAATACATAGCTTATGCATTAATGAAAATATTTTAACTTAACCAACCTACCTTGTTTAGTACTTTGGCCTATACAGCTTTGCTGCGGCCTTACAAAACGCGTGGAGTCGCTTGTTGTTCGGGTTCCGTTTTTTAAATTGGAATTCTGCCAGGTACCCGATGAAATGTTCGGACCTCACCCCGTATTTGGGGATGTGGTCTCTAACGTCTCTCCAACACCGCTCAATTCGGTTTGTATGAGCGCCCGTGACGGGATCAATAAACTCAGTGCTATGGTTCACAGTTAAATGTTGGAAGCCGTACTCCCGCAATCTGCTGTACGACTTCCAACAGTCAGTGATGATTGTGCTGCCAGGCAAAACCCAGCGGCGGATTAATCGAATGAGTGTGCGTCTTTAACGGTCAGGAACGGGAATTAAAAATGTTTTGGTCGAGCCTCTCTGCACTCCCCCCAACACCCAGTTTCCTTTCACTCGCCTACCTCGATTGTACTTACGTTTCCCGAACTTCGCTTCGTCAATCTCAACAATCTCACCTGGCCCGCCTAGTCTTTCCGAATTTGTTACGCAATCGTCAATGTACACTTCTCGTATAAACGAATACCAATCCACAACAGTACTACTTGAGAGATTGAGATTTGTTTCAAGAAATGTTTGCCGGGGTGGGTCAAAAAAAAGGTAATGATTAACTAATCGCCAAAGCGTAAGGATTTGTAATTTTGAATTGCCGAAAAAAGAGCCTACTCTGAAAGATCGCACCCAATGACACCTTTTCGCTTTTTTCTTGTTTATTGATACTTTATTCCAGCATCTAAATAGCCACTGATCGTTCACTTTAATGTTTGAATTACACGTTGGACAATTTGTCTCGTTTTTCAAAACCCCGTGCTTAATTAAAAAACTTTTAATTTCACTATTATCAAATACAACACTTTCATAAAAATTCAGGTCACACGCATTGCAAATATCAGCCATTACTAATACATAAATCGACAACAATAATTAAACTTACTTGATAATTAATTAGTTGTTAATACAGATGTTTAATCTGGATCTATTTCCTGGGCGCATTTCAGCGTAGTAATCCTTTAGTTGGTTGATTAGATTACAGTAATTCAGTGACAGTGGCAGTTGACAGTTGACATTAATGACATAGCCTCGTATCAATTTGGCATTTCTGATGCGGTAGTGGTCGTGTTATTGTCTGGGGACAAATCCTTGCATTTTACGAGGATAAGTTAAATTTATTGATGATTAGTGTTGATTTTATTAATAGTTTATGTAAGTTATTGTTTTTGTGTTACTGTATTTCCGGAACGTCTTAGAAGTCCGTCTGCTTTTACTAATTGAATCGTTGTTAAATGTTATTAAGATTTTTGTTTTTGTATTGAATGGTAAATAACTAACAGCTGTTTCCACTCCACAATCCTTCCTCCCCTTTAAGTGTTAGTCGCCACTAGCACTTGGACTCGTCCATACCATAAATAAGTTAATAAATCAACAAAACTGAAGCTTAATATTAATTATTTAACTGTACGGTCATTTAGGAATCTCTCCGACAAAAACTGATTGCATTTTTGGATTCAGCGTGAAAAATACTGTAAGTAGACATCAAAAAAGTACATAATATCGCGTTGTAGACATACCAAATAATTACCAATTCTACATTTATTTTGTCATGTGAATTTTCTATCTTTTTCTCGCTCAAGGCATTTGGCTTTTATTCAATTAGGAAGATCTGTGCATGCAGATTCCGGCTTTTAAACTTAAGTTAAGAGTAGGCGCACACAAGTCAAACCTCAGACGCCCTCAACCCCAATTTTAATGTAGGCCCTACTAACTTAGTTATTTACAAATTTTATGGAAATAGGTAAGTTAGGCCTAACTTACAAATAGCCAATTCCACAACCCCCACCCCCCAGAAATTACTGTCATGGGCAAATGCCCAATCTGGCTAAATTGGGCCACTGTGCGCATATTGAGTGTAGGCCTAGCCTATCAATCAAGCAAAGCAAAGGGTGACCCAACAAGTCACATGATAAAAATGAACACTGTTAGTTAGGCCTACTAGGGCCTAGCCTATAGGCATAACAACCTTCAAATGACAACCCTATGGCACAAACCAAGGTATAACTTAGGTTTAAGAACGCCACACTGTCATTAGAGCTTCGCCTTGAATTTTTTTAACAAAGCTGATTAATGATTAACTTGGGGCTAGGCCTACTTATCTTTACACTCTAGTTGTTGAATTACCGGTAACTTTACTTACCTGTGTTGGATAATGCCTAATCCAGTAAAATCCAAGCTAACTTTTTAGCCTTGGCCTAAGTTTATTTGTGTTGCATTTTTCTTACCTTTCCGTGATATATAGTATACCACTTCCAAATTCTTGATCTCCTACAAATAATCGAGTACGCGGTTGTTTATGTTCTATACCATCGGTTGGAGCTGGGATACTTGTAAGCATTACCATTTTTCGGTTATATTCTTTTCTGTAAAGAAATAAAACAGAAGAAATGTCACTAAGACAACAGGTAAACGATAACAAAATTGAGGAAAACAATTCTAAAGTGTAAAATGAAAACACAGGGACGCTGTAAAAATACAGAATTTTAGTTCGAAAACTAGCCTAATAATTTAAATTTTAAGCCGGTGCTGCTAACCGGCCGGGTTAATTTCAACGCTATAAGCTGAAGCTCGCGCTCACTTTCGTCGGTTTCGCTCGCTCGCTGCCTCGCTGGACCATCGAATCGATGTATAATAACTCTACTCTACTGGATAGCGCGCTGCCGCTATAGGTGGTGGAAAAACGGTCAGTGCCCGCCAATCGAATTGGCGGGATACCGAGGCGGACGGGCCGAATGAACCTCTCTGTTTTACACAAACATACAGCTCTGCTACACTTATTTGTTAACATAAAAAATTTCAAATTGATATATTATTTTTCTGGAAAAACCAGTGCTCATTACTATGTAGCTAGTTTTTACATTAACATATTTTTTATAATTTATTTAGGCAAATTAAAACAGATGATTGTTTTTTAACACCATTAAAAACATGAAAAATGTAGTAAGCGAGGAACTTTTTTATTTTTTGGTCAGGAAAAAAATTCCTGCGGCAAAGTTTTAGATCAAAGTATGAATTTTATTTTTTATTTGAAGCTTTTTTTGATACGGAGCCTGCTTGTATCATTTTTAAGCGATTAAAAATAGGCATATAATCGCTTGGCGCGGCATTGGCGCTAGGAGCTCGGCCGGCTCAGCTCAGCATCAGTTTACGGGATATAGAAACCGAGTTCCTAGCATTTATCATTATATTACATCAAATATGTCATTACATTACGGAGAATGGTAACTAAATTTACTGGCGTATGTTTATGCATTTTAATGCTTACCGGTAGTCTATAGTTAACAAAATTCTTCGAATCAAAGAATAAATGTTGGATTTCACAGCAGTATTTAATACCTAAGAAAATATTTTGTTATTATTTTACTTCAGTGAGAATAATGAATACATTTGAGATATTGGCATTAAATATTATACACTCATTTTATTTAGCAACATAATATGTTTTCCAAACACGTTAATCACAGTATGACAAGGAAACATACTATAATATAAACAAAATATATTTTCTTAATTATGCATAGCCTCTCAATAATAATTGGGCCTCACCGAAGCAAATGATAACATGCATATGTGATGAAATAATTATTGTGATATACTTTGCTCTGTTCAAATATAAATAAATCTAACTTTTATATCACCACTACATTTCTTATGAGCTTTACTTTTGACACATACTCTACAAAGTGTGAGCAAGTACGTAGATTAATTATATCTGCCTATAAAACCTCCTTAAGTTCGTTACAACCAATTATCCTCGGAATATTTCCACAAAACTAGCAAGCAATACACGGCGAGAGCGGGCGCGACGCTCGCCACTAGGGTGACTCATGCCTTTTTTCCCCACTCCTCGCGGACAGAGCGAGGTAGCGACGGACCGTTTTTCGAGCCCTACTTCAACCTGTACTGAGCGCGCAATCCAGGGAGTTATTATACATCGATGCGCTGGACTGGACGACGACGACGGACGTTTATAAAAGCATCTAGACTGCCAGTAGTGCCAGTGCAACTCCGAGGATCGTGGATCAGATCGAAAAACCCCTCACCACCGCTCCGTGCCGATGGCGTGACGTCAACCATTACCGCAACGATACCGCCTGGGTGGTGAAGTGGATAACGTGTCGGGCTGGTAATCTGAAGGTACCAGGTTCGAATCCCGCTGGTAGCACTAACTTTTTTCAACAAATTTTTTCATATCAACAAGTTTGGTTGGTTTGGTTAGGTTATGACAGTTTAATTTTATAATTAAAAAATTATAAAATTGAACTTGAGACATTTATAATTTTATTTTTAGAACAGAGCTTTTTTTCGATTAGTAAACCTTTTATTCGAGTTTATCATTATCAGCAAGTTTGGTTAGTTTGGTTAGGTTTTAATTATATTTAATTTAAATTTAACCTACAAATTATACGTTTTGACAGCGACAGTGATACAGATAACAATTTTCCGCGAACAGTTAGATAAGCTATGCATGCTGATGCGCCGGTATGACTCGGAAGCGTATGCCACAGCGCCTCTGATCCACGATCCTCGGAGTTGCACTGGCAGTCTAGACGCTAGTCGGACGTTACGCCTAAGGGAGTATGTTTTATCTATGGTTATGCTATTCATTCGCTATTGCTAATGCTGCTAGATAGCTCAATCAACTTGCTGAAGCGAAGCTGATTAGCTAGCCGAGTACTGTAGCGCACGACTTGTTTGCGCGTGGCCCCTCCACTGCCTCCGTAGCCAGGAGGGGCCCCCACCACAGCCGGGCGCTTGGCGATCTGCTACTAGTCGCCCTAAACTACTTCTACTCCTAGCGGATGCATAACACCAACACACGCGGCACCTGTTGGTCTTATAATATTTCCATCGCTTCTCTGTGAATGGTTCGCCCTTTTTACGGGCGGTTGCCATGGTATTAATCAATACTTTGTAAACTCACCTTAGAATATTCATTTAGGCTAGGCCTATTCTATAAATGTTTAAAGTTAATAAGTTAACAAAGATAAGGATTACAAAAGGTGTTTTATTTAAACAGATGAACAATTAACATGCAATGAGTAAAAGGCTTGACGTTACAATGAAAGGATTGACAATGGTGTATGGGGTTGAAATTAAATTGAAATAAAAGATAAATTTGAATAATAACTTGAAGGTTCAAATAATTTAGGTATGATATGTCTCAGGGTAGGGTGTCGTGCTGGCTTGAATGCTAAGAATTTAAATTTAATAGTGTCCAAATAGGCCTAATTAAGGTGTTGAACTTATAAATCCCAACAATGAAAAATCTAATTTTGGTGTTATCCAAAAGGTAAGTCCAATTAGCACAAAATTTAAAAGAGTTTAAAGAAAAGGTTATACTTAATTTTGAAGATAATGATTGAGTTGAGTCCTCTTGAGGTTTAGGCTACTATATGATATAACTTGAAACTTGAAATGAACTTGATTCTTGATAAATGAATTTGATTTAACTTAGGTAAAATTTTGACTCCTTCTTCTAACAATTTCAACTTCTCAATGGCTTCCTTCTCTTTCAATCTTACTGTTCACATCACTTATTGTTGAACACATGGGATCACTTTCACTGCTTCTTAAATTTTGATTCCTTAAGGACTAATTTTGAAATGATATTATAAGAAATTTTGATGTATTGCAATTCTCTTACATATTTAATAAATAATTAGGTTGTGGGTTTTGTAAAAAAAATATATAGGCTATGAATGAATATTATTAATGATTAATTGAACGTATTAATGAAATTATATAAATTAGGGAAATGAATATTAGGTCAGTCTTTCTGAGGAGTGATTATTAGGTGTATGAATAGAAGTTAACATAAAAAAAATTAATACTAAATAATGAATGAAATGAAATGAAATATTACAATTTATCTCCTCAGAAATTTGTATGATATGGAATGAAAGACAAATTTCGAACGAATATGAAATGGAATTCATGAATCATTTAGTATGAATTATATTTAAAGCTAGTTATGGGTCACATTAAATGATTGATATTTTTGGATGATGATGATTAGAAACTTCTTAATCTAAATTTACATAAACACAGGAACAAAACATAAGTGGGGAAATTATTGAGGGTTAAGATAGTTCATGACCTGACACAAGGGAATAGCGGAAGCAATGTTAAGGATATGTTCTCACAATTTTCACTTGGGAAATGGGGAAAGGGTACACGCACTCGCGATTAAGGTTCATGACGATCTCCTCTAATATAATTTATGACACTTGATTAATATGGATTGAATAGGATTTTATTTACACAATGTTTTGAGAGGTTATGTCGCTGAGATCTTCTTCACCATTTGACATCTCCTCTTCTATAATTGGTTCTATGTATCGTTTTAAAGCAGATATGTGATATGGTCCGAGTAAAATATCTTCATTCTCTTTTGTTACATGATACGTGGATTTTCCTAATATTTGCTTGATGAAGAACGGTCCTTCATAAACTTCGAAAAGTTTTGCTGTTTCTCCATAGATGGCTCTGGAGTTTTACAGGGCCGATTTACCGAATAGGCACGGTAGGCACGTGCCTAGGGCGCTAGGCAATTGGTTTTTTTGAGGGGCGCCAAAAATTGGAAAATAAAAAAAATATTTTGTAATTGTATTTACATGCGATCGCGGTAAACCTCTTATAATCCAACGTGGCCGTGTTGACATCATTATCGTCTCCCGTGGCCGTATAGACATCATTATTGTCTTCCGCGATCGCGGCAAATTCTAAATATTTCCCACGGTCGTGTAGACATAATTATTGTCTTCCATGATCGCGGCAATATATGAACATATAACGCGGCCGTGAAGAGATTATCGTCGTCTACCGCTAATGAGGCAAAATTCTTATCTTTTCCCTCGGTCGTGTGGACATTATTATTGTCTTGCGCGATCGCGGTAAAATTCTGACTGTTTCCCGCGGTCGACTAGAAATTAAAAATTATCATCGTCTTCTGCGATCGCGGTAATATTCTGATCATCCCTCTTGGCCGTGTGTTGACATATTATCGTCTCCCGCGATCATGTAAAGGTCACTGTTGTCATGCGCGATCGTGGTAAATTGACAATTCCAGGTAGAAATACAACATTCATGCATAATTCCCGGATTACCCGGTGGTGGTCACCCTTTTATATGGGTGTCCCGTAAGTAAACAGCCAAACTCTATGGGTGTTCCAAAATGGTTCTATAGGTCAATATAAAAATGAAATCGAGAATAGCATTATTTTTTCTAAAATCGCTTCATTAACCAGATATTCGCCATTTCATTTTTTTCACATTACCATTTTTATCTTTAAAGTTTTTCAACCGATCTTTATGAAACTTGGCATAGATGATATAGAGAGAGACCCATGTAAAAAAAATTAACCTTGACTTATCATACAATTTCAAAATGGTGGCCATTTATTTTAATTTTTTAAATCAAATTCCTAAAAAATGGCAGATTTTATGAAAAAATGACTAAAACACTTTTATTTGACATTTTTAATTCCCTATCAAACGATACCAAGTTCAAAAAGATCGAATCAGAATTAGC